CTGTCAACCATATGAAGCCAAAATATTCTTAATACGTAACACAGCTTGTGCAAAATTATTTTTGCTATAATTAACCATCTAGCTCCCCTTTTCATGGCTCTCTTTAAGAATGTTGAAAGAAGTGTGTTAACACTGCAGAAGCATTTCTAGCTATGGCCAACCTCATGTGTGCACACTTCACACTAATGTTTGGTACAGAAAAGCAGGAGAACTGCTAATGAGGCCATGGCAGGTAAATGGAACCATCTCTTTATCACTATATGGACAGGCTGGAATGTAACTGAGGATGTTTTTATCTTTGAATGGTAAACACACACAATTCTCTCCTAAAAACCTTTTAAAGGAATTTACAAGTTACAATTATTTTTATCCTCAGATGAGGGTAGTCACCCAGAAATCCCCTAGTTATACAGCTAGACCAGAAATGCCAAAGGACTGAAGTCCTATTTGAAGTCCACCATCACATTTAACAAATTCTCAAATATTTCAACCTATCTGGAAGCCTGACTAATTCAAATCATATTTGCATCTTACTCGTTAAATAATGCATGTGCTGTGGCTTGTTTTGACAGTAGTCAGAGTCTATTACTAACTCCTGACTGATGCTAAAATTTTAAGTGCCGTGCAGGAACTACAGTTCCTAAGAACCAGAAACAGATTGAAGATATGCTCAGGGGTCTCTCCTTCTATCCTTAGGTAAGATGCACCTCATCAATCAGATCCAGAGAGACAAAGCTTTACAAGGTTAAAGACCCAGATGTGAATCCTGAATCTCAGGCTTCAGCAGGGGCACTGCATTCATTTTCAATGTGTTCTGATGAGGTTAAAGATATTTTCCTTCTAATTTTATAGATATTATACAGCAATAAGAGCAAAATAGCAATTATGTTTACAGTGGGTAAAATATGTAAACCCCCTCATTTCTAGTGAGTCCAGAAATTTGTTTGGATACAAAGATCAGTATTTGCATCCATTGATACAATCAATATTTAATATCCTCAGGAAAAACACAGCTAAGAGTATCTTAGCTGGACACATCCAAAGCTGTTGTCTGGAGTTGACTTAAATGTAGCCAGGCAAGAGGTTTTGAAGTATAAATCCCCTGTGCAGGACTGTCTCTGATAATCATGGTAACCATGGTAAAAGATTCTTGAAACTTCCTTCTTCATGGGACCAAAACTGTATCTAGGAAACTGCAATCTTCTACCTTCTCTTACATTAGAAACAGAAAATGTCTATTCTGTACCTTCAACTTTAAAAAGGAGTTGAATTTCAATACATTCAATACTCAAAAGGAGTTGAGTTTGTGAATATTTTAATGATAAATTTTCTAGGGCATTGCTTCACTAAGTATTAGATTTTTTCAGGTGAGGGATTTTTTGCTTGTCAGACTCAGCAGTCAAAGAGCTTCATGAAATTCTTCTATCATGATTTTTAAAAATATTGCCATTACATCTGCCTTTATATTAACAATCAATTTTATTTTTTTTCTCCTGAACATACATTGTTAACTAAAGCAGAATCAGAATAAGCAATAATTAAGTTTTCTTTTTTTCCCCAGCTTCATGTTCTGTATAGTGTTACACTAGTTTTCACAGGCCTATTCTATCTGCATCTCACTGCTTACCAATACAGCAGGGAATCAAGCTATTGCTTCAGAAATGTTCCCTTGGTTCTGGATGGCAAAAGGCTGCCTGGGTAGAGAAAAAAAAAAAGTCTCACCTTCACCATAAAGTACTCTCACTTCAGGGAGATGCAATAGCTTTGGCAAAGGTTGTGAGACTGGAACTGTTTTACAAGGCCAACAGGCACACGTTATGGAGCAGCCAAAAACCCCCTGCAAAGCACAGCTGCTTCTTATTTCCTTCTCTGTTGCCAGACAGTGAAATTAAACTGGTCAGAGTGCTTGGAAGATGCAAGGGGTTTATCACACAGAATACAACCTGCCTGATCCTCAGTCATCTTCATGCCTATTCTTATCCTTAAAATGCTTAAAAGGCATGAAAAGTAGCAGGACAGTGGTTCTTTCTATATTAATAAAACAAGTGGCTTTTAAAAAGCCATAGGAAGATGTTTAACTTGGACAATGAGCACACTTCATACTTCATAGCACACTATGAGCACATTTCATAAATTATTTCTAAATGTCAATTAAAAAAAGCATTTTGTGAGTGAGAAGGAACATGATTTCTTTGAGGCTACTTATTTGAGCTATTCCATTAAGTTAAGCCCCAGATATGTAATGACTTTTCTCTATTTTTCCGTATTTTTTCCCATCACTTTACAGGGGGATTAAAATATTTTTCCTGTGCAGTTCCCTAAATACATTGATGAAGAATTTATTTTTTATTTCCTCTTTGCCTACCTCTTGAACTATTCAAGACTATTCAAAATAAATGTCAAAATACAGTAATAGAAGAATGCCTCAATATCTCCGGAGGCAAAATATCTCAACACAGCATATTATGGTTGAATTTTCCTATAAGTCTTTAATTACTTTTAGTCAGATATATCTTACAGCCTTATTACTCCCTATATTTTTCACTTAGGTAAGAAGTTCTCTAGATTTTTATTTCAAGGACAATTTTTTCCAGTTTGTATCAATTTTAGAATTTTCTAGAGGTTCAAAGTCCATGTAATAATTAACTTTCTTTTCCCCTGCAGTGTTTTCTGCATTTACCTTGCTTTAAATGTCAGAGCCTTTCACTTCTGTTACTTTGATTTCCTTGCTGCATCAATTCTCTGCAAGCCGTGACTGATGGTGTATTCTGGTGCGGTCTCCCTGTCTTTTTCCACTTTCAACAACACTTTTTAAACCTAATTGTATCTTCTAACAGTTTTTTATTGTAAAACCCACACTGACCACTTCTTGTTTTTTGTAATCTACTTTCCAGAGGAACTGCAGCCTGCTGTACATTTGCTATGAAGCCTCAGCAGTCCCAACCCCCTTCCATGCAAAGGGATTCCAATGTCTCCTGTTGCAGCATTATGCTCGCTGACTTCCTTAACCCACATTTATTCAAATGCAGTGCTCTGACTTGACTGTGAACATTTATTCATATAAGATGGAATTCAAGGAATATTTTGATCAATTCCACATTATTCTTGTTGCTGTCAATGAGATGCTCTGAAGTGTAAGTTACTTCAGAGAAGCACCTACACGAAAGTCTGACTTCAGGTTTTAAAGACAAGCAACAAGCTGCTGTAGTAAAAGATGAGTACAAGAATGATCTTACAATAAAGAGATTTCTGAATATATGTTAAGATAGTACAGACAATAGAATAGGTTTTCAACACTTAGAACATGTCTGATATGAACACAGAAATTGTAGACCGGCAAAACTCAAAGAAATCACATCTCTTGGAAAGTGAGGATTTCAAGAAGAGCTTATGACCATATTTCTTAATATTTTATTATTTTGAAGTGAAATATTTTACAGAACTGGATGATCATTTCATTTAATATCAGCAATTGAGACTGTGACCACCGTAGAATGGACAACACTTAACAAAACAACATTGATCCAGGTGCTTAATGATAATAACATATATTTGAAGTCTCACACTTCCACTCAACATGCTACTCCCACTTACACAGAACTTTTTAACAGGTAATTACACGTGCATCAAACTTTCTCCAAAATTACATATTATAGGAATTGTATGCTGCATTTTTAAAGCACATAAATGAACTGGCAAAAGAAATGAGTTGACATTAAGAAGTTGTTTGAAAACTATGCACTATTCCTGAAACAATTTACTCAAAATGACTGCAATTACAGCAAGAATATATTATCACTGCATTATTTAATTCCAAGCCATGATACCAGTTATAAAATGAAACCCATTGGTTACCCCCCAAAACAACAGCAGCAAAACTGTTCTTCTTTCCTGAATCCCTATTTCCTTCCATACAAAGCCAATAACTAGTGGTGCAAAGAGGAAAAGAGGACTGACTAACAAGAGGAAGACAGTGGTTGTAAGCCTGTAAGAGCAAGAAAAGACAAGAAGAGTAAGAAGGAAGAAGCAAAACAAATGACATATTGTGCTCCTCCTTACTACATGAGAATCTATTAACTATTCTACTCCTTTAACACCAAAGAATATTTTACTTAGACATTTTTCCTTATCTTATAAACTTGGAGTGCTTTTCTGTTAATTGCCCATGAAAGTAGATCTTATTTCAGATGTGAAGGTTACCATCAACACTTGAATAGAAGGGAGAAACATGAGAGGCAGCAACATGTTTAATTAAAAATAAAAAGAAAATAAAAGCCTCCAAGAAATCAGTCTTATAACCACCAAAATTGTAGATGACAACAGGAAAAAAAAAGTTACCATTTTTAATTGCAAAAGAAGCAGTGTACTTAATATGGTATTTGGACATTTATTAGTCAGCTCTAGGGGGCAATGCTTATTACATACTTTTCAATAGTTTATAGAATTTATGTCTTCCAGTCACTTCAGTATCACTCTACAGCGAGAAATTAAGACTGATACACTGAACAACATGAGTAATACTCAAATTTAAGCTCACATTTGCTAAAAATACATTTCAATGTATTTTTAACAAGTGAAACTGAGACTGCAGAACAACGATGAATATTTCTTCATGAACAAGTGTATGTAAACAAAATTGACTAAATTCCCTCCACAGAGTGAAAATACAGTAGACAGAAAACCGTTTTATCAAAGTATGTAGGAATAGAAGTCTCACTCAGCAGGACACCCCATAACATTACTGAAAGTGTTGTATCTCAATTAATTTTCCAGTGGAATTCTTTATAGGTTTTTTTAGAGTGTTCAAAGGAATTGAAGTAGTCCAGAAAAAAATATACAATGTTTATGCATATTTGTCTGCATTGTGTTTTTGTCTATGTTTTCATCATGGCTGATGAAGAAGCTTGAAAACAGGTCAGCTGCAAGTGCATGCTGCTTTTGAATTTGTTTAACAGCTCTTCTAGTAACCTGTAAAGGGAAAAGAGTTACAACTTTAGGAGATTCTGAAAAGGGAACAATTACTGCAAGTTTTGATTATTCTGTCTGTGACTTCAGGTACACTGTCTGCTTTTCTTGTGCAGCTGAATTGCAAATTTCAGTTCTCAGCCTTGTCTTTGGAAGGTATTTGTAGATTTCTCTGAAAGATCAGAGATAGTGTGACTTTTCTAGGAGAAACATGAATCCACTCCAATCATGCTGTTTTGTCTCTAATAAATAAACTGTGTATGACTTCATTTGGGGGCATAACTATAGTTAATTTCATCTACTGAGCTGTCAAGAACGTACTTGGTGCAGTGAATAGTATTTATAATAATCCACAAATCACAGGTGTAGGAGCAATGGTGTTGATGGGCCTATTGTAGAAAATACTGACTGTAACAGTGGAGATGCATTAAGTTGTTTTACAGTCTTGGCTGGGTGTTTTATTTTCTCCAGATCTAGGGAATAACATAATCTCTGAACTTTTCTGCCCTATTTCAAAACCAAGCCATATAGGGCAGACGTATTACCTGAACTTTTTGGCATGCTGCATTACTAAACAGCCAGTATCAGAAAAAAAAAATTACACCATGTGTTCAAAAAACCAAACTAGCCCAAGAATAGCAACTTAAACCAAAAAATCAATATCTGCTTCCTCAGTGGGTCCTCTGGAAAATGATCATGTCCACATTAATAATTTAGCATCATAGTAGTGATTGTGAATGAACACACACAAACAGCTCTCAGAGCACAAATGTGTTATTTTACACAAATACATGTAGACTACAACGAGCTGCCTGGAGCAATGACAGTTGCCATTCCCATGACCTGGGAAACAGAACAAGTTCTGCTCTGTCTGGGGCTCAGAATACTGAGGCAGATGTAATAATGATGCAGTTCTTGATTCTCATTTGTCTCATGAAGCTCAGATGCTCGTGACTAAGTGAAAAAAAAAATTCCACAGGTGTTTTGGAAAATCTGAGTTAAAAGATCTCTCCTTACTCAAAACTGATTTCTAACTTCAATAAAGCACAAGAGCTAAGTAAGATGAGGAGCTGTCTTGAGACTTCTTGTGGCTAGTGAAGAGCAGGTTTGACTACATTGACAGAGGACATCTGGAAGAAGGCACAGACCATGGACCATGAGCTGCACCAACAATCTCTTTATGTGTCTGCAAAATATTCTAAATTCTGACTGCTAAGTGCAAACTGATTCGACACAAGAAAGTGCAATGAAACCAATCTCTAGTTCAAACCATCTATACTTACACTACTCATTACAAATTTGTCCTAGTTTTACTTCTTATTAAGCTGTGGTTGTAGAATAGACTACCAAGTTTGTCAAAGATTATTATGATGGAAAAGGAAGAACCCAAAATTTCTCCTCCTGATGTTAAAAAAAAAGCCACAGACCCTCCTTATTTGTTTTTAAAAGGAAACATACCAGTTTTATGAGCTTCCCATATATCAGCCTGCAAAAGCCTGAATTTTGTTCTGGGCCATTTTTTTATTGCTACTAAATTCAGTAAAACAATACAATGGAACTCACAGAAACCTTAGGATTAACACGGACGGCTAAAATGGACTGATACTACACGACAAATACAAAGCTACACTGAAATGGTGAGACTGGGATGGGCAAGCAGGATATGTCACAAAGCCATTGGCTCTTATGGATAATTTAATAGGCTGTGAACAAGGCAAGGACTGAGCTTATTCTTGACTGTCCAAAAAGGCTTCTGCTCTGTAATTCAGAAGGGTCAAATACAGTGAAAGTTAACCCTTTTATAACAAAGTTTTCTTACAAGAGTAAAAAGCAATAGCTTCAAAGACCATAAAGGAAACAAGAGTACTCACTTTCTGTCAGTTCCACTTGAGAGCTGAGGCAAGGCTTCCAAAGCTTGCTTAAAGCTTGATCTGCAAGGAAAATGAAAATACTCATATTCTGCTTGCATTAAGACTCAGCATTTACAGTTTCTCTCTGTAAATCCTACAGAGTGATGCTATATTTTATCCATTCTTTTTTTCAATAAATTGACAAAATATTTACCTGAGATCTGACATCCATGTGCAAATTGAACATAAAATAATCATGGAGTCAAGCAGGTATCTTGACATTCCTAATGTGATGTACATCATACATCAATAGGAAATGTTAAGTCAGCAGCTGATTGAAGACTGGCACATCCTGGACTGTTCAAAAATTAACACTTTGTGGCCAGCCCGCCTTCTACCTAAAACTAAGGGACCATCAGTGTATGAAGAACAGATAAAAACATTGATTTTGTCTCTCTGTGCTTAGTAGACAGGCTACTGCATTCTGCCTTACAGAAGGGTGCCTATAAAGACTATTACAATGGGTTTGCATTGAGGTAACAGAGTCATAGAGTAATTTAGGTTGGAAGGGACTTTAGGTGCAACCCTGATCTCAAAGTAGGGCCGATTTCAAGGTTAGAGGAGGTTTCTTTGGGCCATTATCCAGTCAAGTGTTGAGTAACTCCAAAGATGGGGTTCCACCCTGCTCTGGGCAACAGATGTGGAACAGAAACGAGGGAACAATGCAGGACCTGCACAGATAGGTAGAATCTTATCAGCAAAAGATTAATATGGTGACTTGTGGCAACTACTGCTAGTGAAAAATCCAGGGATTAAAAATCCTCCTACAAAGCACTAGCTTTCAGGGTTCACTGTGCTTTGCCCTATTACAGACAATATAATTTCAATGTTATCTAACCTGAGCCACTGTCAAGTAGCTTTCTTTTGTCACTATCAGACACTCAGAATAGGGAAGTGAGTCTCTGAATTGGAATGCAGTGACACCAGTGAACACTATGTGTGACTCTATGAAGAACCATTACGACTTGCAATGTCTCCTACAAAACTGTTGATTAGGTAAGATGACCAAATTGCTACCTACAGGGATGTGTAATGCCAATCTTAAAAGAAGTGAAGGTAATTTAAATAATGAATCAATCTGCCTGTATCCAATCCCCACTATAATCACCTAGAAATTTAAATCAATCAACTTTACTCAAAACTGCTGATAGCTATCATAACCTGTTTTTACATGTCTTGGCTACATCAACTACTGATGGTGCTAATGCTTTTCCTTCTCCCTTTATACTGATGTGTGTGTGTCCCCCATACTATTTATCTTTGGTCTTACCTCAGTGAGAAATGATAAATTGCTGAAAAACTTTTGAAGGTGTTGATTCTAGGAGACAGTGTCAAGCTGAATTCCCTTTCCCTGATTAAGTGTGTGGAGAAGGAGCAGGATATTATATAAGCCTATGGAGAGCCCTAATTCTCCACATCCCTATAAGGGGACTCTGCCAGTATTTGGATCTGTAGACTCATCTGTAGATGCATCTGGCAGGTTATTTGCTTTATACTTTATGAGATTGCTGTGAAAAACTGGATAAAACTCATCAAGATCTGCTCTTTGTCTGGCTTTAGCATAATTATCCTCACTAGCTGTACCGCTGTTAAGTTTTACAATTTGTTTTTGGTGGCAAATATTAGTTTGTGTCTAAAAATCCAAGTAAAAAACAACAAAAAAGTAACTATTTTCTTTCAACTGATAAAATCTTGCCAGACATCTGATTTTGGTATATTTACACAGTAGATCACATATTCTATTTGAAGCAAAATTCCTTCATTCTAAATTTACATTATGTGTTTTTGCATGTTTACCATGTATTCCATTACACTGCAAAATTTCACATTACAGCATATCTTACTTGCTTTCAGGTGTTAGGTATATGGCCACGGTATCCCTCAATGCACAGATTTCAAGTTTTGCCTAAAGACAGAAATACAAATACAGAAAAAATGACACAATGTCCTTTCACCAAGTGTACACAAGTAACCCAAAGCTTCACCTTCTTGAGAGGCAAATGCTATTGCACTCTGCCTTTGCAAGCAGCCTTGGCTTTTAACAGTTTATTTCCTGTATTCTTTGTTGCCATGCTGCTCTGTCAGGAGACTTCTCAAAGGAACAATTTCATACTTTTGATTCAAGTCCAACTGTTTACATGGTCACTGTGTAGCAGTTAAAAAACACTGGTTTGTCTGTCAGTAACAGTGATAAATCTTCAATCCTGTTTCACCTTTTCTGTACTGTGATAGAAAGATAGAAGGATGCAACTCTTTTTTTTTTTTTTTTTTTTTTTTTAAAGAAATACAGCAAGCTCACAGCACTGCTTAGCCAGAGAGGAAGGAAACACAAAAGTACAAAAATCTGACAATATACATTTTATGCTTGGTTATTTTGGTTAATTTTTTTTTCCATCAGATGAGGAAGTAGAACGACTGTACTTTGTTTCTTTTGTGTCACCTGGTGGGCACAAGAGCTTGGGGATTTTACTCCTGCACTGTACTGTCTGCCTAGGTATTAATTTTCATTTAGGCAAAATATGGAGGAGACTGAACTCACAGATTAAACAAATGCCATAGATCATCCTTTAGTCTTTGAAAAGCAACCATTATCATCACAACTTTTATATGAAATAGAAACATTCTGCAAGAAATGATTAAGTAATTTCATTTAAAAATACTAAGTGAACTTAATAAAAAATTACATTTTGTTCTTTTAAGCATAAAGATGAAATTTAATCCAGTTAGACATTACAGTAACATTTAGGCACAACTAATGATAATCTTCCAAAACAAAACTTTTGACAATGCAACACAGACAACTAATTCCACTTCTAATGAAAGCTTTTGGCTTTTAGATATCTTCTTCATCCTTCCTCTAGGTAGGAAGATAGATACAATTTATGCTTTTTTAGAGCCAGAACTTTCTGGCATAAAATATAACATAGCCACCCCAAATTTTATACTCATAAGACAGGCACCACAACCTAAATAAACCTCGTGGAAGGCTGAGATGCAAAACTGTGGATCATGGAACATGGGAATACAGGGTGAGGCTTGAATCAGAATTTTTTGTTCAGCCTAACAAGGCTTGGATGACTCTCACACTGCTGCTGTCTGTCAGACAGGATTTTCCATGTTCAGAGGAACAGAAAACAACCATGAACGACAAACTTACAGTAAGGAGAGAAAAGCCTTTCAAGTACGGATTTAGGCAGCAAGTTCCTCCAGTGGGTTGTTTAATCAGAAAAAAGGGTTTAGGTGTAGCTTTGTTTTTATTAATGGGTTTGGATTAAATATGGAGTCAATCTTACTTGGGTGTGATCTTCCTATACTAATTCTCGGTCCAATGCCATTACTAGCAGCAATTGGAAAATAAGGCTTACAACTGGATAATTATTTTCCCATCATAATGCAAGAATGCTGTCATGTACAATGAAAATAGGGAATTTGCTCTTTTTCATTTACAGACACAGCAATCTGACTCAAAGCGATTTTTTTTAAAAAAGGTGTTTTTCTTTGAGTCCTTTAAAGGTTACCCAATAGAAGTACAATTACCAATCCAGCTGTAAATAAAGACAGCAAAGCTATTCTGTCCATGTTACAACAACAAGGTATTTTAGAGAGAGTATAACAAACAAGTGACTAGTCCTGCAAAGTCTTACAAGATCCTATTACATCCTGTTCAAGGGATTTTTAAGTCTCAAAATATCACTACATTGCTTTTTTCTTTTAAAGTGATTTTTTTAATGTTAGCCCAAAGAGAGTATGTGACAACATTTCCAAGATGATTAGGATGCTTTTTATCTCACAGGACACAGGTAGCCTTTTAATGCCATCTAACACAAAGATAACCCTAAAATATAATCAAACCCAAGAACTAGTATCCCAAAGGATATTAATTCATAAATCTGAAATAGGTTGTAAACTAATCCTTTTTATCTCCTTTCTTTCACTGCTATAATAAATCAAACCAATACCCACATTATACCCCCGTCTGTTATTCTCAGTTTTTTAGATTCAAATGTTTGACAGTTGAACTATTTGGGTACCTGTAAAGCTCCATTTTTGCTGAAGGATGAAACACACTGCATCAGTCGACTCAGTTCTTCAGAGACTGCTTCTACAACCCTTGACATTACCCGAGGAACTAAGTCTTTGGAAATGGTAAACACCTAAGTTTTATGAAAGAAGAACCATGAGTACAACACCTGCAATAACAGAAATATTTTCAATGCTAACATTTCAATAAAAAACATAAGCCTCTTTGACTGAAAGAGCTCCTTCATTTTTATCAATATAAAAAAAATTCAGAAGAAACTATAATATGAAGGATGTCTTTTGATGCTTGCCCTGCATTTCGACCAATCCCCTCTATTAATAGCAAATTTGCCTATGTGATTTGTGATAATCTTCTTGCTATACCAAAAGGCAGCTAAGCTACAAAATATATGCTTTTGGCTGATGGATGTAGGTAGTCAGACTGCTGTCTTGTAGATAGCACCTTTAATTCAGTTGTGTGCCTGAGTGACACAGTTACACATTCAGCCACTTCTTACTCAACATTTTGCTATTTCTTCCAGACTCCTTTATATCTGAGCACTGTTGAATGGCTAGTGTTGTTATACTCTGTGGCAGAGAGAAATAGTTGACAGCCTGTGCGAGTATGAGTGTCAATGGATTTTCATTTAGATTAGTTCCCTGGCAAAAAATATTAAACCTTACTGGTTTTCCCATGCATCAAGACCATCTTTTTAACCCCTTATTTGTATAACTTTTAAAAGTGGCATATTCAAAATAGTAACTGCAACACAAAATTATTAAATCTATGCTTGAAGCAAAGCATGAAGAGAGCAATCTTCCTTAAAGGGAGCTTTACAGAAGTGAGAAATTGTTGTGGATTTAAAAAAAAGAAAGTATGATTTTTCTATACAGAATTCAGGAAAATGCAGGCCGAAAGGCTGGAATATAGGAGGAAGTGAGATTATAGGTTAGACACACCAAACTTGTGTCAAAGCTTAAAGGTGATGATAAAGCTGCATAAAACTGCAAGGGCTGGGAGAGAAGATGACACAAGGAGCTAGAGTGGAGTATGTAAGCTGAAGTACATGACTGGAGTAGTACAAGAAGGAAAATGAAATATATGAAGTTTTGAAACACTTCCCCAGTTTCTGCTTTGAAATAGTCTGAAGAATTAAGTAGTGGATTGTTTTGATGGAATACCTTTGCTTTTATGCAAAGTTTAGATCCCATGTTTGACAAGGAAATTTAGTAATTGACAGAAGATATTAATATATATGTATAGAAATAAACAAGGGGAAAAAAACAAAAACAAAGAAAGAAAGAAAGATTCCTGCAGAGTTTTCAGTGCTTTTAATAAAGAATTGTGTAGCAGACATCCCATAAGGCTGACCATTCCAAAAGGCAAGTCTGCACCACAGGCCAAGTACACTGACTCCATAAATGTCAGTTACCAGCTGTTACCAGGGCTGGAAAGGGGTCACCTTAGTTAGCACCAAACATTGCTGACCAATTCAACACAAACATACCAGGAACATGACCAAAGATCTTCTACTGAGAAGCGAGTATTTCTGCCTGCAATGAGCACTCTTGAAGTTACTTTACAGAATCCAGGAAAAATAATTCTCAGCAAAGGTGAATCATCATAAATTTGCAATAAGAAGCCCTTATTTTGATTTCAGCTAAATTTAAATTCAAAGGTCGTGAAACAATTTTCTTTCCATTTCAGTCTATCCTTGCTGTTCATCTGATGGTTAATTTTTGCTGTTTCAAATTACAGAAACTTGCTGCCTTGCTAACTAAACCTAAACCTGACCCGTCTTAACAGAACTTCACCAGTAGAAATGGGAGTTTCGTCTTGACACACATTCTCATACTTCTATAATATTTCACATCTAGAAATTTATGAGGCAATGCTATTTAGGCCAGAATCAGTATCGGTCTCAATGAAGAGAGCACAGCAATGCACCTTTCTGCTGCAGCATTTTAACAAGTATGCATGTTTACAAATCTAGCTCAGTAAGTCACAAATGCCTTTGAATCTTTTAAAGCAAAACCACTAATTTTCATTTTAACCAATTTCCACTACACTGAAAAACAATATTAAAAATTGGTATCACGTTGATATAGGTTATTAGTGTTTCTTCTTCCCTCATTTGGTAAAATCATAATGCTTCTGTGAAAGTGCTTCTGCTATAATCTATCACGGAAATAATATCAAAAATACTGCAAGGCAAATTTGAAGTTCCTGAAAATATTTTAATTTATATGAATCCTTGTAATTTAAGAAGGAATAAGTAAAAGCCTCAAGTAAGTCTCATTATATTTTAATTACAGGGAAAAGGTAGAGCAGCCATACTTTTATTTTAGAAGGTAAGAGTAATATTACTACCAATGCTTCTACCAGGAGCAACAGCAATCTTGAAAAAAACAGTTAAAACAGAGGAAAATCTTGAACACTCTTGATGATTAGAAGGAGTGATTTTGTAAAACACAGGCTCTAATTTAAAGAACCACAGAAAAATCCTGCACATAACCTCAAAAGGCTAATAACTGCAGCTCTTCCAAGCTTATTATGTTATATGCAATGTTTTAACATGCAGTCCCTAGCCTAGGCAGCCATTATCTACTTAGATATTTCAAGCAGTATTTATGCTGTACAAAGACTATAAAACTTTCTGGGTTTAGCTTTCCTATTTCCATTGTATGTAGAAGACTGACATATATTGGCTTTTCACTCTGAGTGGCACGTGTTGAATGTTTCTTTCAAGGTGAAACAGAACTTAATTTACAGATATTTTGGAAAATAAAGATAATCAGAGAAAGAGAGCATCATAACTAGCCATATATCTATATATTATCTGCATGGAAAGGGAGAATTTAACTTTAGAATTTGGCTTTCTTCTTTATCAGATAACGGAGACAAAAAGGTGTAATGGAGTGTTAGAGAGGATAAACAGGAACTACTCATCTCCTTCTGCTCATAAGAAAAAAAAAGTTATCTGTTGTATAACAGGTTGGCTAAAACTAATCTAAAACACATCTATAACAAAGATACTCCAATAAAAGGGTGAAAAACCCTGGTGAAAGCCAGGATTTACCAGGAAAAGTACACTGGAATCATATTAATATAAGCATGAAATGATCTGAAGTTTCTCCTCACCTCTGCATGCACAGCAATGATATTCACTAATGCTTCTTTCAAGTAGTTTCTGACACCTGAAACAGAAGAAGTAAAATAATTACTTTCATTCTGTTGTCACAACAACATCATAATATTCTGCTGTTCAATACTGTACTTTTTATTTTCATTTTTTTACTACTACTTTTGCAATCAGAGCCAGAAAGAGAAAGTTCCATAGCCACACCACCAGTCTATTTCCTTTTTCAAATCAAATGGAGAAAGGCACATTTCCTTATAGCAGAAGGTTAAAAGAAGCCAGTATGTTCCTGTTTTAATATTCTTCTCTAGCAACATAATTTCACCAACTTTGCAATTGAATACAAAACTAGCATTATTAAAAAATAAATTCTGGATGTTTTGCTAGAATACATACCCATAGCACAGAACATGCACCATGGTTTGATAAGTTCTAAAGAACAAAGTCAAGAGGTTTTGTTTGTATAACAGTCCTCAAGATCTTACTACTTTATCAGCTTCTCTATCTGTGAATTACTGTAGATAGGAATAGCAAGGTCTCTTGTTTATCTGAAAAAGGTTCAGAATATATTACTCATGGCAGTTTATAGGAGATGTCAGGCCTTAGTAGAAATTTCCTTTTGGGGAAGGTGGAGAAGTCAAAAAAGCATTTGCTTGCCAAGCTTATGAAACGCTTGTCAATTTACACTAAGAAGTGAATTCTAAACAGAAGAACATCCAGCAGCATGTGCTTTAGTTAGGACAGGCTCTTAGTACTCTCTGCTGCTGTAATTCTCTAACTTTCCCAGCCTATAGTCCAGTCGTCTAAGATTTAAAATTGGCAAAAATCTAAAATTGCTTCACTTGTTTTTATGGCTACTTCACTTTATAGGCAAGGGAAAATGAGAAAGCATTCAACTCATTAATATAAATTCTAGAAATACAAACAAAGTAATGAGAGAGGGTTAGTGATCCACATGATCTCAGCTTCTGATTTTGATTTTTTTTTTAGTCTACCACGAATCAGAGAAAGTGCAATAACCCCATCCCTTCCTTCAAAATATTCAATGAAAAGTAAAATATGAGAATCACGGACAAAGACCGGTGAGACAGCACAGCTCAGAGATCACAGTGTGATTAAGGTTAATGCTATAAAAATTACAAAGTGAACCTTTAATCAGTTCATCTTACTTGCTCCACCTTTCCTCAGATAACACTGATGCAGAAGCTTAGTCCTGCTACAAAAAACAGCTTTAAAAGGGGTTACCCAAGATCATCAAAATGAGCTATTCTGTGAGAAGGGTAGTATCTCACTACTGCCACCTCAGTCATGCTCATATCTTTAACCATTGATCCCACAACTTGCCTCAAGATATAAAAAGGTGACACTTTTTCTTTGTTAGACAATTATGGATAAATATTTTTAAAAAGTAGGACACAAGGACAACAGGACTGTCTTCCGTGAGGAACAAACATCTAGGATGTGCAACGGGACGCAGCTTGGATGTTACAAAAGCAGAAGCCTTTCTCCACACATTCCAAAACGTCTCTAGTGCCTTTTCTCTTTACTTTTATTCTTCCCCTTGAAAATCTCAGTAGCTTTTTTCCATTTAAATTAACCCAAAGACAAGTCAAACAGTATTGTATACCAGGTTGCAAACTTAAAATTTCTTTCATCTTAGCAAGGAAGTGAGGGAGGAATAAAGCAACACCAGAAATTTTATGAAACTGTCTTTTTTTCTCCTGCCCTGTAAACTTGCAAAACAAAGCAAGAATGTTACACACCAATACTTGAACCACACCAAAAGATCACAGGTACATGTGGAAATGCAACACCCCCTTTTTCCTCTTCTACTGTTTTCCTTCTTTTACTTCACTCTGCCCCTGCTTACATTCTCCGCATACTTCATATCACAGAGGTCAAAATTTCTATCATAACCCAGAAGCAAATACAACTTGACCAGACACTGAACAATGGTATGTAAATCACATCAAGAGGTACAGGGTGAATTTGGGAGCTTGTTTGCAGTTAACCTCAGGGTGCAAAGTGTTGCTTTTGGTCTGTAAACCTACGCGGTATTAAGCTTTTGGCTGCCTACCAGCCTCATCTTGTGACAGAAGGATCTTTCATGCAGGAGCTGTGATTTTACTTTTGCACCAATGCTTCACAAGATTAAGACCTTGACAGTCTCCCTTCTTTAGGGATACCTGAGCATTGCATGGCGTGTTTCTTAGTCAATCAAAACTTCAGTTGTGACCTAACCAGCATTTCTTTGGCCCAAATGAGTGTTCCTTAACAAAGTATCTCACTCAAACCCTGCTACTGCTGGGGAGCAGTAAGGAAAGTTCAGAGAGGTGTATGTGTCCTGCAGAGGTGGCCAGCAGGCTGTGCTGGGAAGAAGTGATATCAAGGAGGTGAGTGAAAAGCTGCAGTGGTTAGAGACTGAAGTGGGTTGTGTAAGAGGGTGATGTGGTTCCAAGGAAGAATCCTCATTTCCCACCTATCCCACCTAAACCCCCGAGGTAGCGTGCCTCTTCTCATGCATTCAGGCAGCTTGGCTCAGGGTAGGAGCTGCTAATTCTGTCTGTTGCTGTAAGCACCCAAATTAAACAGCTTTTGACTGTACTAGTAAAAGTTGCCTATCACTATATCTGCAGAAACTTTCTATAGCATATTTCATGAAGAGTTAGTTATCAAGTTGCCATCACTGCTATAACTGTTAATTTCTAAAAGCATGAAATACTATTATCAGCAACTTTAGGACCAAGTGTTGAACACCATTGTCTGATGGTTCTCAGCTAAGGTAAAATGGTTATTTATGCCAGAGCTCAGAATGAGTTCAGTAAGTGGAACAGAGATGGAAGCTATGGTAAAAATGATGTGAGAGTAGCTTAGTATTGCATATTAGCCTATCCCAACTGCATGATAAAATTGCTAACTTAAACCTCAGTGAAAGGACATAAACAGACATATTTTATCTTCCATCCTTGTACCACACACAAGGACGAATGGGTGAGCTAAGAACTTAAAGAGATTAGTGCTATTGGGATTGCAAGAAATAATTAGGTGTTCCTGACCTTTCACAGCAGGCTCGCTCCTGCAGTGACTGCAGGATCAGGGAGCTCAGTACCAGCACAAACATTTCCTCAGTTTCTTTGACAGGTTTTACAATTTAAGAGCAAATAATTCAGCACAAACTGTGCAAAGCTATGCAGTTTAGAGACAGTCTATGTATATGAAACTTTAGTTGCCTTAATTGCAGCATTTAATAACCTGAAAGACCTTGTCTTGGTAAGCTAAACAAGCCAAAGACAGAAAGAACATGCAATTGCACTCTAAATATGCCAGTTAGTGAAACCAGACAGGGAAAGAAGGGAGAACTATGCAAGGCAAAGAACAACATAGGCGCAAGAAAGAAAGAAAGGTATAAATGAACTGACCATCAGTGAAGCTGGCTGGAAATTAAAGGTCACTGTTGTAAAGGTTTGCTCTAGCTAAGCTATGAAACATGTGGCTTTATGACAATCATTGCTGTTGGGGGGGTCAGTTTCCTACCACAAATAGAACGTAAGTAAAAAGAGTATTTCCCCCAGCCCTTCCTTTTGTCTTATTTGTGAAGGATTTAATTTTTGGATGTGGAGAGAAGGCCAAACGTATTGGAATGTCAGGACCTGCAGGCATAGTTAATAACTGTACTACATTTTGAAAAATTACAATTCAAAAATATCCAATTTCTGATTTATATCACTGTACTGTTTGTGGCAGGCTTTGCTGAAGCAAAGTATTACTTTTCTGGAGTATGATTCACTGGAAATACAAGCAGTGGCATCCAACTGTGAATTTGTTGTGAAATTCATTTCAAAATGAAAAAATTCTGTCTAGAATAGAATTTTTGTGCAGCTTTCTCTACAACTGTTCAGCAGCCCACGCAATTACAGTTTTTGGGACACCATGCTGCCAGTCCTATTATACAGCACTGAAAGCTAATGCACCATGTAACTGTAGGTTGCAACTATTAGGCTAATCAAGTGAAACATAACATTCTTAAGTCTAAAATACCTCTTATTTAGCATATTGAAGCACAAATACAATGCCTTTCCACTGCTTCTGACAGAAATGTGTTAAAGAAAGTCTCAACAAGCCCTTGCAATTTCTCTAAGGAAAATGTTATTATTCTGTTACAACATAAATGCATTCCACTCCCACTCTATTCTTAATACCAAAGACTGACTTGCTGGAATTCTAGCTGCCACTAACAAAGCCCAACATTGCTCTAAAGAAAAATGGATGGGAAGACTTAAGACATAAAAATGAAGGACATTTTCAGCCATCAACTACCACAATTTTAAAATAGCATCTTCCAATTTTGGACTCTCCACTGTACTTTTTACCGGAGAAACATATAACAAGATTATCCATTAATCCCCAATTTACACCACCTAATAGCTGGGGTTTTTTTTATTTTACTTTTTTTTTCAACTTGAATATGTCAGACTACATTTCAAAGCAATTTTAGCAACACTAAAAAAAAAAGAGCTGTAAAGCTGTAGCAAGGATGACTGTGTGAATGATGGGAAAAGCAGAAGGGAAAAAGGTTTGTGGTTCTGAGGATTAACAGAAACCAAATTTCTAGCTTGCCAATACAGGAGTCATTCAGGAGATCTTCAGATGGTGTAGGTGCTACCAGTTGTCCCACTTGTAGTTCTCAGAGATATCTTCCCCCAAGTACTTATATGACATTGTTATACTACGAAACCCCTGAAGTGACTGAATAAGCATGCAAGAGCTGGGACTCCAATACCACATTGTGTAATTCTAAAACACAGAGAGGCTACAAAAACTTGCATGCAAGAAAAGAGCAAAGGTTGCACACACAGTAAAACTTAACTCCACAGGCTGCTTTTTATGTGCCAGAAGCTAACTTGGATCTTCAAATGTTCCCAGTCCTTCTACAGCAAATTGATAGCATGAAGGATGTTATGAGCTTCAAAGATTTTTTAAGCCTTCTGCAGACTCAAGAGTTCAAAGAATGAACTGAAGTTCAGTGAGGACAACCGAAACACACAGGAAATTTTAACC